TGCCCTCAGATCCCCCGCTAAAAGTTTAACTTTTGGTGGGTCAAATCGAAACTACCACTAAACACTAAAAGTCTAAAAGGCTAAGGAACCGGATGGCTGGGAGCCACCAAGAAACGTGGCATCAAAAGGGTTCCGTCCTGGTTCATCCCTACACCAAAAAGACACTCACTCCAAATTTGCCACAAAGCTGAGGTTTTAAACCACGCGTTAAAGGGAAACATAAGGAACCCTGTCGACAGCTTCGATCGTTTCTTGGTCGACGTTGGAAGGGGAGCAACAATTCTCAAATTTTAGCAGTTCAGCGGATTTGGATTTCAACCACTAAATCCCACAACAAGCAAAAATCTGAAAAATGTGTCCCAACAACAACCATGTGAAAGGGAAACCAAAAGGAAACCAGCCATTATGCGGTTTAACGCGGAAAACCGTTTCATGAGTTGGCCAAAAAATGAGAAGAGTGCATTACATCCCTGGGCAAAATGCAGCAAAGATATATATATATATATTAAAAACAAAAAACGGTCGACCGCGTCGCTCGCTTGGGTCTCTCCACGTCGCTCGAGACGCCCTCCGCGTCGCGCGGCCTCCTGGAAGGCCTGGTGGCTTTGGCCTCCGCCAAGGTCTCGTCGTCGATCTGGGTGCCGTTGGCCTGCGGGGTCCGAGAGATGCCGAGGCTAGACGTTGGGTTGGGGGAGCAAAAACTGAAAGAAACTTTGGCAGTTAAGTGGCAAACATTGAACCACTTTGGCAGTTAAGTGGCAAACATTGAAACACTTTGGCAGTTAAGTGGCAAACATTGAAACACTTTGGCAGTTAAGTGGCAAACATTGAAACACTTTGGCAGTTAAGTGGCAAACATTGAAACACTTTGGCAGTTAAGTGGCAAACATTGAAACACTTTGGCAGTTAAGTGGCAAACATTGAAACACTTTGGCAGTTAAGTGGCAAACATTGAAACACTTTGGCAGTTAAGTGGCAAACATTGAAACACTTTGGCAGTTAAGTGGCAAACACTGAAACAAACTTTGGCAGTTCAGTGGCAAACATTGAAACACTTTGGCAGTTAAGGGGAGCAAAAACTGAAAAACTTTAGCAGTTCAGTGGCAATAATTGAAAAACAAACAACTTCAGCAGTTAAGGGGAGCAAACATTGAAAACAAAAACACTTTGGCAGTTCAGTGGACTTTGGATTTCAACCACTCACTACAACAAGCGAAAATGTGTAAAATGCATCCTAAGAACAACCGTGCAAGGAGTTCTCTGTGAGGCAGGGTGCTTCACCGAAAACCTACCAGCACCCGGGTCCCAACCACTAGGGAGGATTCAAATGATTTATCTTTGTTCAGCATGTTCAGCATTTGAAGCCCGGGATGAGCACAGGAGGAGAAGCCAGCCCCGATCAAACCCTCATTGAGGGCTTGATCGGTGCTAGGCCCTCCCCATCGCCCCCATGGCAGGTCTATGGTTAAGTCAGGGGCATGTCCAGGTATGGATGTTGGAGGTATGGGTTCTGGCATACCACCAGGAAGCTCGTAGTAGCATATACACCCCTTATGTAGGCGGTTCATAACCTCCATACCTCCAAATTGGGTCAGAGTTTGATATCGTATGAAGCCCCCACCTGGTTAACATTACCCTGTAGCGGTTGATGCCAGAGAAGTGGAAGCACGTCAAAAGGGGCCTGAAACGGGCGGCGGTCGCTTGATTTTTGGGCGGTAAGCACCATGTTTGAGTGGTATTGGCCCTTGGGGCAAGGGGCTTGGGTCGCTAATTCCACGAGTCACCACAAAAAGATCAAAGTGCATGGGTAAGTACATGCCAACATGGGGGCGACCAAAGGAGGTTTTCCACTCGCTTTCCCTTTCAACCCACCTGAAATGGGAGGCCCCAGCCTCAGAAAACACAAATCAAGATCTTCAGACGTCCACCTCCCCCGACTCCATTCTCAATCGAAAGTGGTTGGACGGTTGGGGAATCCGTGCGCAAGCCAGAGGTGTTGGCCCATCCGAAAAAGGCTGGGACCTGGAGCGTTACTTCCAGCTTCCCTTCAACGAACATCTTGGTTGACGTTGGAAGGGGAGCAAAAATCTAAATGTTGGCAGTTGAGTGGATTTGAATTTCAACAACTAAGCCACAATAAGCAAAAATGCAAAATGTGCTACAACGACCATGACATGCAGATTTCAGCACCTCTTGGTGTAGACCACCTGGACCTCCTTTCTTAGGTCCTCCAGTAGAGAGCTTAGAATAAGGGTCCCCACTTTTCTTTCAGGACGTCTATTTTAGTAGGGGAACCCTCCCCCCAAACAAAAATGGTAAAAGGGCACTACTGGGGGACCTAGTTTTGGTGTCCTTCTAAGGTATCTGCAACAGACAACTCGCATCCCTCTGCTCGGAACAAATGGAACACATAGTACCGGAGGCTTCGGTGGGCCTCTTGAAGCCGCCAAAAGAAACGCATTGGCTGGTCAGTTGGGAAAACGCGGGGATATGGGAGAAGCGTGGATGTGCGAGGACTCTCTGAAACACAAGCCCACATCCCTCCGTCCCCTGCATCCCTGCTTGTTTGTTTGCCTGAGTCAGGAGGTTCCTGTAAGCTGTCGATTCCCTTGTTCCGCTTTGAAACCCAACCAACAGGGATCTCTTTAGTGTCCCTCTGAAACCAAAGGCAACACAACTGGTTCTGTTTAGCTGCCCCTTGAACAAAAACTGTTCAAGGGGCAGCTAAACAGAACCAGTTTTGGCCATGGTTGAGTTTAAAGGGGAACCTTCCCCAGAAAAAGGCCAAAAGGGCTCCACTGGGCAAGAGCTTTGGTTTCCCTTTGAAACCCAAGAAAAAGAGGTGCTTCAACCGCAAAACGCCCAGCTCTCTCTTTCTCTCCCTCTCTTTCTCGCGCCCCGCCCGCACAAGGGCGTTCCAGGTTTGCTCGCAGCCCTCCATGCCCACCGTGTTGGGAGCGCGGCTCTTGCCGTCCTGCAACGCGCGGACAACTCGGTGGATTTTGCGTCGTGATAGGCGGCCTATTGAAAAAGTAGATGGTTTTCTCCGGCAAATGCAACGAAACCATCTAAACCAGTGCCATCATGTGCCATCTATTCTTATAACCAAACTAACCACAAGGCAAACATCGGTGGGTTTTCGTGCGAGCCTGACAAAATTCCAGTTCCCAGGCAAGCCACGAAAACCAGCCATTCTCCTTTCCTCTTTTTTTCTTTGTTGGGTGGTTCTCTTGGTTAGTTTTTAGAGGTAAATGGATCCACCGGGCATTGGTGGGTGTGCGACTTTGTCACCTTTAGTTGCTTGGTTTCATTCGGCTTTTAAATTTCTCAACCCCCCGAGACCACTAGTCAGGTGGTACCTGATGCTTGGCGTTTTGGGCCCAGACCGGGCTTTTGGAGATCGGGAGAAAACTGGCACCGGCGCCCGTGTCTTGGTAGCGGAGTTTAACAGGGGAAACCCTCGCCAAAGAAAAGGGGGTCAAGATTTAATTTGGGAACATTTCCTAAAAAAAACACAGAACAAACGAGAAAACCACATCCTAAAAAAAATGGCCGTCCAAAGAAAAGGCCGAAAGGGCACCCGGCGTCAATTGCTTCCACCCAAACCGGCCGCATTGAGGGGAAAGCAGGGTTCATATCGTGGCTGTATATTTCCCATTCAACCCCGCAGAAAGAGTCAAAACAGGGTAATCCTGGATTTGTGAAGAACAACAAAAACAGACACTAGGGTCAGGAAAATCCAAACCCAATCTGAAACACTCGGTGAGGCTTTACTTTTTGCCTGACCTAGGATCATGGAATACCACCACTCCGAATGAATCAAACCAAGCCATCCCAAGATCCGAAAAAATCTCACCGAGGCTTGGGATCACGCGAACGGGTCCACTTGATCCCCAAAACTTGGTCCTCCGCATTTGAGAGGTTAGAATAAGGGTACCCGATTTTTTCTGTTGTCTAGTAGGGGAACCCTCCCCAAAAAAAGAAACGGTTAAGAAGGGCGGGCACCTAGCTGGGGGACCCAGCAAAAAGAAGCAAAGCCAAGGCGCAGAGCGGCAGTAGATCGCAAAGAACATCTCTACCGCCTTTCCTGGCGAGCTGATTCCACCCGGACATGAAAAATCCCTGGTGCGGTGTTGGCATTTGGCCATGGGTCAAAATTCAAATCGTACCCGCAGTGAGCATCCTACCATGATCAAAGTCACCCCCTTAAGTGATGGGCTAAAGGGAAAAAAACACATTTTCTGACTTTGACAACCCCTAGAAACGGTCAAATAATGACCCCAGAAAATCCCCACGGAAATAGACTAACATGGGTGGTGAAGCCACCTACCCCAAAATGGGATCCCATTGGTTTTGACCCACAGCCATTTGGGGGTGTCTTTTTGGTTGAAGGTACCCTTTTTTGGGGGTTGAAACCCACATCATGGGAAAATGCTGCTTATGATGCTCTGTTTCTTTTTGTCTAAATCCTGTCTTTTTCCATAAGCCACACTTCTTTGATCTCCCCCCCAAAAACATAACAAATAAATAAAGGAAGCAGTCTAAACAAGTTCCCCCAAACCAAGCCTGGACAAATCCATTGGAGTGGGGCTTAGTGGGTAGGGGTCCTAGGAAATCTACGCCTGGTGCTTGCGCGGTTTCAACCATAGGGTCCTACATGCGCCGCAGGTGGATCCCAGGCGTTTCGCTTTTTCGACCTTGTCCCAGTAGGGCTTCCTTGTTACTTCCAATCGAGTGGATTGCCCTCCAAAAAAAGTATCAAAGTCCATGAACTCAGGAAGTGAGGAATCGCTAAGCTGTTTTTCTATGGCTGTGTCAGAAAAAACGCAAAACGACAAAACACATCATGAACTCAGGAAGTGAGGAATCGCTAAGCCGACCTTGTATGGCTATGTCAGCAAACACAAACAACCAAACACATGGCAACCAAGACCCTTGTTTCTACCGCTGAACAGGATGGATGGGTGAATGGGGCATCATTGGTCAAAAACTCGGGTTGGAGAGTATGCTTGGAATGGCCTTACAATTCGACAAGGAAAGCCTACAAACAACCACACTCGCCATATGTAGGGGGTCGTCCAAACCATTTTTGGGGCGGTGTCTGGTGCCGCCTGCAAAGGGAATGCCAAAATTAAGGGCCGGGGGCCCCTGAAATCGACAACCATCCATGTCCCGAACAAGTTGACTTGACGTAACGCCAACCCTGCCCGGAAATCCTGGCAAATGTATATGGCACAAGGCCTCGTGTGGATTTGTCACTGATTTGTCTGCCCGAAAAGGAGTGGTGGTTCTTTGAACTCCAAAACGAAAACATCCAAGAATACAACTTGCAGAATCCAAACCTCCAGTGGGGCAAAAGGGGCACAACATTTGGGGCAGTTGATTTCGAAGGAATCTTCCATTCAAACAGAAAGAGAGAACACAAAGGTCTGGAAGGAATTCTCGCGCGCATTCAGAGACATCCCCGGCTACCTGCTCCCAAGCCGTAATGTTGAACCTCCTCTTGGAATAGTACCCTCAATGTAGCAACTGTTTTTCTCATTCAGGATCCCGTCACTGTGTTAGGGGTCCTCTATTGTGGAAAGTCTTTTTGCCGAAAAACGTGCCGGGAACAAATCCGGGCAAACACGACTGGCCGCACAAAAAAGTCGGACAACAACAGGGCAAACAAATCCGGGCAAACATGAGGATTGTTGTTTGAAGTGGTCCCCTAAAACATCAAATTTAAGATACCTTCTTTGCAAAAAGTACGGGCAAACTTTCGCGCAAAGGGGGTTGCCCAAAAGAGGCCCTGAGCCTCTCTAATGTGACTGTGTTGGGTCCTCTTTTGTGTCCGACCTTTTTGGGGGTTGCTGAAAAAGCGGGACTTGGCAATACTAAAGTAGAAATGGCAATGCTAAAGTAAGTACTGGGAACCTGAGAGTCAACCTTGGCAATACTAAAGTAGAATTGGCAATGCTAAAGTAAGTACTGGGAATCTGAAAATCAGCCTTGGCAATACCAACGTAGAATTGGCAATACTAAAGTAAGTACTGTCCCTCCCAGACCCCCCGGATTGTCTCTAAAGCGAGTCCACCTGTCTGGTTCCACTGTTCCAGCCGTGTAGAAAGGGTCCAACATTTCAACTTGTACCAATGACAGCTGAAATAAGACTTGGCCCGCAAAGTACAGGACCTACATGTTTAGCACGGTGCCCCGGTGAGCTCGCAATAGGCAAACACAAAAACCCCCGTGTCCCATCGTCTGAGATCCCCGGCGGACCCGGGTGAAGCCATCCTGCGAGATAAGCTTCATCTCCAGCGCCCTCCTGTCAGTGACAGGGGCCCAGACCAAACCCCAAAGAAATATCACAGTTCCGCATTATGGACTTATTTGGGTATGAGTCAAAATTAAACCACCAGGGGACCGCAGGGTTTAGTCCATGTTTCCACTTACCAGGATTCCATTTTGGGTACACTTTTCGACCCACAGCCATTTCTCCCCTTTTGTGGCAGGTTTGGGTGATCCTTACGTTCCAAATGTCTGGAACTACAACCTTTCAGCCTGGCGAACCTTTGACCCCTTTGCCAGAACTCTCCAGATTTGGAACCTCCGAAAGAGGGAGCGGTTCCCTGGTCCCTGGATCCAGAAAAGGGCAAACAGCAAATGGTCCCGAAGCCAGTACTTAAGACTGAAGTCCAGAAAGTGCAGTGAGGAAATGACTCAGCTGAAGCCCTGGAAAATGGAAATCAAGTTAACAAGTTGGTTCGTGCCCTTGAACAAACCACCAGAAGTTGAGTTGCTTTTCCGCGGTCCGGGTCAGCCCAAACCGCAAAGACACGGCCCGGATGCGCTCTCCTCCGTTTTCACCGGACGGCCAAATACTTTGGGACCTTTTGGACCTTTTGCGGTTTGGTTGAAAGGCAACATGACGGCTCTTCGCGAGAAGTAGTTTTACATCATCCGATACCTCTGGACGAGCAACCCAAGGAGCGTACCTGGTTCAATCATTTGCTTGAATTCGAGAAATGTTCCGCCCTCACAAAGTCGACAAGGGAAGCCGACTCCGGAAATGGATCTGCACCCTTTGAAGAAACCCTCCATGGAGGCCCAACTTTGTTCCTCCAATGGAGGGAATTCTGTCTGCAAGAACACAGCGACAAGGTCATGTGGTCGTTCATTGTTCTGTCCATCAACAGGAACCTCCCGGAACGATAGCGTCGAGAGTGCAGGCAACAAGGAGTTCTGGCAACAAGCTGGGTATCCAAGGCATTCCCATGGGGTCCCTTGGTACCTCATATCTTCGCGGATGTCTTTGATTCTGGTCCGGACCATATTTCGACCAAGTGCAACTTTGTCCCAAATACGCCATTTCTTTGCCACTCAACTGGCAACCCCCCAAAAAGGTAAGCCCAGAAAATGGGGAGGCCCGCCCAAAACCGACAGAAACGCATGAATCTAGCAGCAACGTGTTGATCATCGCTTACGGCCTGCTTTGTTTTTCTTGGGGGGGGGAGAAGCTTGCACCATCCGGCGATGCGAATCATCGCTCTTTGCGGCATCCAAATACGTCTTGAACTTCACCAAGGGAGCTGCGCCTGGCATTCCGCTCGAAATCACACCCCCATTCAAACCGCTTGAGCCACTCCCATGGATGGCGCTTCCTTTGGTCCCCCTTCAAAAACTATCCAAGCAAGGCTACCCTCGAAAAAAGACACCATTGCCCAATCATAACGTGTCCATCTCCATTAAATTATTTCCATGGGCAAGCACATCTGTAGCTGGCCTCACGTCGCCCCCCCGACATGATGGACGGACATGTTGAGATCGCATCGGGCCATCCTTCCCCGTGTTCCCTTCGACGGCTTGGAAACTACGAGGCTCTATACTCGATCAAGTGGATCGAGGTCCCTGGTTTGGCCACTTCCCGTTCCGAAGAATCTGCACTTTGTGTTTACCCGGGAACTTGCGGTCCGGACATGGTCCGGAAATGGTCCGACTTTGCACCAAAGGTCCGAAAAGAATCTCCAGGAACCTTCAGCTCCCTTCAGCTCAAAGGACCTGCAAGGCCTCAAACCTCATGAAGTCAGCTCAGGGAATCGGAACCCTTCCCGGCCCTTCCCCAATAAAAAATTGTTCAACAGGGCAGATGCCCGGCCAAAAGTTGACTTTAAAGAAATCCGAACCCTTCCCAGTTGCAAAAATGAAAAGGGCACTGGGCAACTGCTAGCCCCGACTTCGAGACAGATCGCTGCGACTTTGGGCTAAATGTGGCTCGCTTGCGCGAGCCGTTCTTTTGGTTTGCTCCTCGGGCTAGACGGCCTTTGTCCCCCCAAAAAATATGTGTACATATTATATATGTATATATATATGTATATTAAGGAAATGGCGCCAGCTAAGATGCAGCCACAAAGCAGGCGGCGAGAAGGCCCTTTTGCTTCATTTCCTTCACAGTCTCGCGTGCAAATAGTCAGCCTTTTGTCGAATTCAGCCTTCGACCAGGCTGTTTGACGGCATGCCGACGTGACACATCAATCATGAAGAAAATTGCCACACTTGAGGATAGTGTGATAGTTCGTTCCGTGCAACCAGTCACAGAAACAAACAGTGACAGATAAAGAAGCCGCATAAAGCAAATATGAGATCAAACACGGGCATGAAGCTAAATATCGCTGATGCACGTTCCGACCTTCCGACTGGTGGAAAAGTATCGAATACATTGCGGATCATTCAACTAAGGCTTGCCCATCACCCACATCCGACGGTGGAGGCCACTGTAAGCATGAAAGATGGAGGGCTCGTGCGTATACCGGATCTTGTGCTTCTTGCAGATTCCCTTCAAGCCATCTGCCATGCACCATAAGAGCGGTGGGTCAAGTCCTGGTGCCATATGATGCTCTATCTGCATATTGATGCCACCGAAAATGACTGTCATCCAGTAGCCACCCCAACTCATAGATTCCTCGATTTGGTTCACCATCCAAGCATCCATCTTCGTCTTCTTGGTGGTCAAGAGTGAATCCGCCTCTGTGCTGTGAGCAACAAGGTCCACATGGGAATGGGACACGGCAAACTTTGATGTAAGGGTCACTCCTGTTAAGCCTTGTGCGAAGAGTGTAGCATAGAGGCCTGTCCAACCGTGCACGGCACAGGGCCAAATCCACATCAGCACCATCCAAAGTACAAAGTAGGCTTTGGGGCCCCCATGCTTGAAGGCGCTCTCAACCGGAAATCTGGCAACTGAAAATGGAAGCAGCAGGGGAAAGTAGAATGTCTGCGCCGCATGGAACCAACGCCTCTCCTGGGCCTGAAACAATCTGACCAAGGGATACATGGCCGGCATGTCAGGGTCGCAATTCGCGTTGGTGCTCATGTGGTGGTACTCATGGTGATTCTTCCACCAGGCCTTTGGATTGTATCCCCATGTGTTGTCCACCACCTCATAGAGCGGTGCTGTGAGCTTATCCAACCACGGGATGTCGTAGACCTTTCCGCCTTTGTGGTGTCTTGTGTGAAAGATGTTGAGGAAATAGACCTCAAAGAGCAATGACACCGTGATAGCAGACGCCACACCCGGCCGGAGGAGGAACCATGGGAGAATGGTAAAGAAGCCAACGGTGATGATGAGGCTCCAGGCAACAAAGACCCAATGTTGATTTTTGTGCTCCTCCTTCACCTTGGTGACAAGAGCATGAACATCAGCAAATAGCTCGCCAGAGTCTGGCATCTCGATCCCATTTGCCTTGACCGCACGTGCGATCCTTCCATCGAGATCACAGCCCACATGGTAGGCCAGGAAAAGCAAGGCCGGACACTCGGACTGCGCTGCTGTCTTCAAGTGCTCCTGTCCTCCCGGATGTGACGTGAACGTCCCCGGCGGCGGCAGCTTGAAATTCTCCACGGCGCACCTCTTACCGGTCTTACCACTTGCCGGGCATGTCTTGTCTGCCGGCTCGTCCTTGTTTTTACTGGTGCCGTGCTCATTGAGCAGTGGCTCATGGATCCCAGTAGCCTCAGCCATCAGAACAGCTGCGCTACCCGGCTCTTTTGGCTCGCAGCACCGGCTATTCGCAGGTGCTAGTTTTGAACCTGAGAGTTCTTCGGCACAAATGGCAGCTTGAGGTCGATCAAGGATTGACTGAAGGCATGCGAGCTCAAGTCAAAACAAGCAAAATGTGAATCTTCTATGGAACAAAGTTTCTTCAAGGAACACCAAGACAGCCCTTCATTCTCTGCGCAACATCGACTCAACACTCGGGACTCGGGACTCGACACTCGGACGCGCCTGGGCCCCCGTCGTCCTCTCTGCAAATGGGCTTGGTGCTGCAGGTGAGGTCATGGATGAAGGCCGCCTAGCGACCAATTTGCCAATCTGCTTGGCGTAAGCTACTCAGGAAGGAGGTTTTTGCGGCCTTGCTAGCAGGTCATCAAATTCGTCCCTTGTCAACATGGGGGTTGATCAAAAGGTGCTTTACATTGGATGACTATTAGGGAAACCACCAAAAAAGATGACTTTCACCAAATGGGGACAGTTGCCCATGCATGGTCATTCTGGGGCCAGGAATATTAATCAACCCCCGTGTATTTGCTTAGCAGGTGTTAGATCATGGCTTCTACAATGGAAACTGGAAGCACTGGGCTTGCTTAAACAAGTTACTTTTGCAAGATTGCTCATGGAGATTCTTAAACCAACACAGATGGTCTAGATACCAAACTCCTTACAAGGACTCAAGAGTGCATTGGGGTCAAACATATGGAGCATTCTGGGCTCAACAGAATCATCCCCAAGTGGTAAGGCTTCCACACACCAAGCCGGCATACATACTGAACATCCAGGAATCGTAGCCACATGCCTGACCAAAAGAACAATCAGTTACTTGTTTCTTCTTTCCTCGGGACGCCGCGGATTATTCATGTTAATACCATCACCTCAAAGGGCAATATAGAGAACAGGAGGCTACATCTCTATCGACAGGCAGGTCTCTTAATCCTCAAAACCATTGCTTCCAGCAATGCTTTTGGGGGCCCAAGGAGACACGGATTCCTTCCAAGTCGCCAAAGTCATTGAATCCTGCAGGGCACCACGAGGGGCAAAAACTGGAATCCCAATGTAGCCACGAGGGCCTCCAGACCCAGGCAAAACCAGGAAAAGGGAAGGAAAACACGAAGGAGCTCCGGAGCTCCCCCGAGTCCGCCCGAGTGCGCTTCACCGAATCAACCACTTGCGTTCTCAAGGGTCATGTACCGGCCCTCTCCACAAATGAAGGTTGTGGATACTTCAACCATTGCTGCCTGGAGATCTTCTTGATGTCGTTTCCCATGCGTTTGAAACGGACGCATTGGAATCCGAGATATCGATATGGAAGTGAACAGGAGGTTCCCGAAAAGTAAAGTCGTCCTTTTCGCCCTTCTCTCGGCTTCCACGCTTGAGGGAGGGAAATCCAACGTGGGATTCGGACATGTAAGCAACAAAGCTGGGCTGTTCAAAATCGTACCATCTGGCATACAGCTTGTGGATTGAAGTTCATCAAAAAAAACAAAGGGATATAGGATTCGAGATTGCTGTCGAAAAATACAGCTCAACTTGGGCTCCTCAAGGCGATTCCTTGAGGCGATTCGATTTGCGCGACGCGCCTTGAGGCCCAGTTGGTTGGTCCCCAGCTTCTTGAACTTTCGCATTTTATCGGCTGCTGGGTTGCAGTCCCCCTGGCCATCGTCACCTCGGGGAAAAAAACAAAAGAAAAACGAGGCATTTGGAAGGGTTCTCAAACATATTTTTACGTTGGGGTCCCGGTGGGAGGGTAAGCACATCCTTGGAAAGTGCCAGGCATTGTCAAAAATAATCTGTGTCAACCGGAGGCCCATTGGGGTAAACCATCCCACCCTGTGGAGCCTCGAACCTGAATCTCCCCTGCTCACTCGTGACTACACGAGTTTCGACTGTAGTTCCGCTTGGGCTTCTGATGAGACGCCAAAGTTGTCTCTCAAAAAGGGGGGACCCACCCAAAAATGATCAAACGTGCTGGTTGTCTTCAAAAAAGGAATGTTCACAAGATCACTTGCGCGTATTATGTTTTAGCTCCTGATTTCCCCTTTGCTTCTGGTTGGGAAACCCAATCATCCCTACAGATCTATCAGGTGCACTTGAAGATTGAATAGGCCCCAAAGTAGCTTGGCCCAAATCTGGAGCACGCAGAAATCATATCTTCGTATTCTGCTTCATGCTTCAACCAGTTGGTTTCCCTGAGCCATGAACCAATCGAGCGGTTCCCTCACCTGCATTTGCTGCTTCGTCCGGGAAAACAAGCAAACATGTGCCGTAGTGAATATCTGGGGAAGCCGTTTTAGTCACCCTCCAAACCATTTTGTTGAACCCTTCCCTGTTTTTTTTCAACCCTTCACCCTTTCAATTTAACCCTCCCTCCGTCTTGTTTTCCCTCCCCCCTTCTTTTCTAACACTCCCCCCTTTCTTTCTGACCCTCCAACTCTTCCTTTTAACCCTCCATCTCTTCTTTGCGGTGGTTTTGGATTTAGGGTTGGTTTGGGGTGGATTCGTGGGTTTCGGTGGGTTTGGGGTTGGTTTCGGATGGGAACGGTGGGTTTACAGTTGGTCTCGGGGTTGGTTAGGGTTTGTTCAGGCTGGGCTTAGCGTTGACTTGGATTTGGTTAAGGGTGGATTCATGTGGGTTGGGGTTGGATCCAAGTCGTTTATTTAGGGTGGGCTAGGGTGGTTTTTGGATTGGTTCAGGGTTGGTCTTGGGTTGGTTCAGGGTGGTTTTATGGTTGGTTTCAGGATGTGTTAGAGCTGTTTAAGGTAGGTCTGTGGTGGGTTGAGGTTTGTTTAAGGGTGGCTTCAAGGTGGGTATAGTCTTGGTTTAGGGTTGGTTATGGCTGGGTTGGGAATGGGTCCTGGGTTTAGGGTGGTTTAGGGTTGGTTTAAGGTGGATTTAGGGTTGGAATAGGGTTTAGGATCCCAAAGCCACGGAAACGTGCACAAGCCGCCAAACGGTGCATACGTTTGCGGGGCTGAGGGTTGGCTAAGTGCGAGTTTAGGGTTGAGGGTTGGTCTTGGGTCGGTGGGTCTGTTTAGGGTCCGTTCAGGTTTAAGGCTAGTTTAGGGTGGGGTCAGGGTTTGTGTAGGAAGGGTTTCGAGGCGGGGTAGGGTTTAGGGTTGGTTTGGGATGGGAAGGGTAAGCTTGTGGTTGGTTTAGAGTAGGTCTGTGCTGGGTATAGGGTGGGTTTAGAGTTGGATGAGGGTGGGTTTTTGGCTTAGTGGGTCTACCTTGGCTTGGGTTTGGATTAGGGTTGGCTAAAGCTGGGTTTAGAATGGATTACAGTGGGTTTAGGATTGGGTTAGGGTTGGCTTAGGGTCGGTTTAGGGTTGAGGGTTGGTTTTGGGTCGGTGGGTCTGTTCAGGGTCGGTTCTGTGTTGGTTTAGGTTGGGCTTAGGGTTGCATTCATGCTAGATTAGGGTGGAATTCGGGTTTAGGTGGGTTTAGGGTGGGTTTAGGGTGGGTTTATTGTTGGCTTAGGCTCAGCTTAAGGTGTGGGGTGGGATTTCGGTTGGAGGGTGGGTTTAGAGTTAGTGTAGGGTGGGTTTAGGGTGGGTTTAGGATTGGCTTGTTGGTTTGGTTTAGTTTGTTTAAATTGAGGGTTGTTTTAGGGTCGGTTTAGGATTGGTGGGTGCAGGGGGGGGGGATTTAGGGTGGCTTGGCTTGGGGTGAGCTTAGGGTTGCATACGAGATGCTTGTAGTTTGCTTAGGGCTCGTTTCGCGTGATCTAAGGCAGGTTTGTGGTTGGCTTAGGATGGTGTAGGGTGGGTGTAGAGTGGGTTTGGGGTTGGTGTGGGCGTGGTCGGCTGGTTTAAGATTGATTTAGAGACATTGAGGGTTGGCAAGGTTCAGCTTGGGGCGGGCCTAGGGTTGGTTTGGGTTGGGTGCAGGGTGGGTGTGGGTTGTTTTGGTTGGGTTAAAGGTGGGTTTTTGGTCGGCTTAGGCTTGGTGTAGGTTGGTTTCGCCCGGGCCGAGGGTGAGAGAAACAAGCTCAAAAGAAAGGATTGGACAAACAAGGTTCCTGCTGACGGTTCCCAAGCAGGGCTTGAGGGTTGAAAAAAAGGGAAGGGTTAAACAAACAAGTTTGGAGGGTGAAAAACAAGGGGAGCCCGTGATATCTTTCCTTTGAAACCAACAGTCGAGACAAAGCTTTGAGGAAGCGACACGCCCAACGCCCATGGCAGTTCCCTTGAATTAGTGCGCGTCACTAATTCGATGACGAGGCATTTGGCTTCCTTGGAGTCATCATTAGTTACTCTCGCTGGCCCGCGCTTGTTTGGAACTTCACTGTGTCATTCCGACTGGGCAGACAAATCAGATTGCGCAACAACACCATCCAACCCCCCCCCCCCCAGCCCTTTCCCTGGAATCGCCCACCCCCACCCCACCCACCCCCGCCCCACCCACCCCCACCCCACCCACCCCCACCCGCCCAGCTCCCCACCCACCCCCCCCCCCCAGCCCCCCCGCCTACGAAGATGGCGCAGACCTTGGAGGAGTCCCTCGCCGCCTCCTCGTGGAAGATCTCCTGAAGATGAAAAGTCGATTCGTTTCGAGAAATGGATCACCCAGGCTGGGCTTCCATTGTTCCGAAAACCATACGCTTGGGGTTTTGGTTGGCCCTGGTGAATCTATTTCGAAGCGAGCTAGTGTGTCAAAAAGACACCTATGACCCCTGGGCTGTCCGTTTTCAGAACCGCTAAAAGTTGTTCACTGGTTGGTTAAACTCGGAAACCCCACCACTAAACCAACTACAAACAGCTAAAGCCCTAAGGGGGCGGCTGGGAATCACGAAGGATTTGGCTTCCCTGGTGTTCAAAACCATACACTTGGGTTTTTGGTACCCCCCAAATCGGGGTTGGCCTTGGCAAATGAGGCAAACAAAAAACCATCTAATCTAAGCCAGCGGGACCTTTATTCCCAACCAAACCAACCTAGGACACCTATGGCCACGTGTTGGATGTACGTC